CATGTGAGGGACTAGGCGTAGGCTCCCACGTGCTCTTTAAATCCGGGCGGTGACATGACCGAAGAGTTACTGACGGGAGCTCGCTCCTTCAGGGCTGTTTCTAGTCTGGATGGCCCACCTGGGAGCCAAACGCTCCCCTTGGATATATTGGGGCAAATCTGGATCAGCCCAGAAGTAGCTCAGGGCAAAATCTCTCCTCCCTCTCTCTCTCTTTTTTCCCCCCAGTTGATTCACCAATTGTTTCCTAGCCTGATCTTGCCGTCTGTGCTTGGGCAAAACTCTCGCTAGCTTGATTGACAATTAGCTTTCTTTCTCTTTCATGTGCTCAGTATTACTGGAAAAGTTCAGCTGGACACTTGAGGGGCGCTCCGCGTCTAGGAGAGACTGTTGTGTGCTCTGGTTTTGTCGTTGTTCCCCCTCCGGTAGCAACCAGCGTCTTACAGCTGATTTTTACTTTCTTCCCTGTTTCATTTAACTGGATGAAATCAGGAAGTACTGTATGTGGCACGACGTTGTTAGGGGCTCATCTTGCAAATCCCTTTGCACATGAATAGTCCTCGCTCAATGGGACTTCTTGCATCAGGATTACTTATGAATAAGGATTTACAAGGCAGAAGGTGAATCTGGAGACTAAATATTTAAAATTGTTTAGGAGGATGAAGAGCCACTTTCTAAAGTGTCTGTTCTTTGTATGAAATAGTGAGCTGAAACTTAAAAGAGGTGAACGAAAAGAGGGGGGGGAAAAACCCCCCAAAGGATGCAGTAGTGTGTTTCTTTTGCGGTACGATGCCGGTGTGTATTTGCAAGCTTATTTTTAGTCCCACTGTGGTCTTACTCTTTATGCTGTGACTTTCACTTTATCTCTTTAATTAATGCAATACCAATTGGACGTCATTGCGACTCTGCCCGAGCTGCATGGGCTCCTATGACAACAGCACTAGTCTAGGCTGAAGCCTCATTGAAGAATAATAATAATAATAAAAAAATCAGAAAATAAAGATAAGTTTGTTGAAACAGTGCCTTTATTTAGCAAAATTCAGATTTTTTCCGAAGGGCAATGTTCTAGCTTCTTCCTGTAAAGTAATCTGTACTTGTGGCAGCTGTAAAGATCTGAAACTTTAGCACTTCCTGTTTCCTTTTTGAAACAAATTGTAGAAATCCTTCTGTATAACAGCACAGTTTGAGAGTAGCCAGGATAGCTGTAAAGCGAACAGATATGTCACACAGTCGTTTTCTCTTGCCAGCCCACTGAGCGCGGGCTTCTTGGGTTCACGCACCCTTTACACAAGGACGTTAGGAAATGCCCTGTGGCAATATGGGATGGGGACAACTGGCTTGGAAAACTTTCTCATCAGTCCCACGTGCCTGCCAGTTAGAGGGATTTATAGCAACCCAGATACTTTATTTGGAGAACTTGCATCGTGCCTGGCTGTGCCACTAGCCGAGGGCAAGCCAAGCAAAACCCTAGCCCTTCCTCAAAGACGAGAGCGCGCCACGCACGCAGGCCGAGGCGCTCTGATGTTAAACACAACAGACAAGGTGATTATGCCGCACACTGTTGACTCTGCACGTTCATTATTGCTATTTAGCTGAGTTATTTAAGTGGGTACCTGGAGGTTAAATAAGCATAGCGGCAGGAAGAATCACGGGCAAGGAGGAAAAGGGAAAGTAGAAATTAAATTGACTTGTAGTTTCTGGTGGGCCTAATCCTGCTTCTGTTGACTTTGCTGGAGGCAAGATCGGCCCGTGTTGGGTAAGCCCCATTGTAAAATGTCAGGACTTAAATGCGACGGGCCAGATCCTGCAGGCTGTGCGCGGGTGAATTCCCAGGAGCGCCTGTTGGGTCACTGTAGCGAGCCTCGCGGGGAGCTGTGCCGAGGGACTGCTGGTTGCAGGAGGTGCTTTGCCCCGCAAAAGTTTTCCGGGACGGGTCTTCCAGCCTTCTCTCTCTCTCGATGAACCGTATCTGGAGGGACCTTCAGCTATTTCTTAAATCCTACGATTAATATGCGTAGTTACTTTCCCTCTTCCTCTTCACCCCGTCTCTCGTTATAGCCGAATTTGGAGTTACTTTTGCTTTCTCCTCGCTGTGCAGTCTCCTCCCATGCTTGGTCCCTTATCCAGCTGGTTTATTTGTTTCTTGCCTTTGATGGGAGCTGATCTCTATTAGCACCTTGGAGGAGGACAAGATCCACTCTAATTCAGCCTGGTCCCAAATTTGGGGACTCAGCATTGAATGCTGGCAGTTGCAGACTTGCTGCTGGCCGTGGGTCTGTTGGGCGAGCTCTGGGGCTCGGAGGGAGCTGGGTCAGCGAAGTCTGTGTCCTTTAGCTCGGTTCCTAGTGTTTGCATCCCACTTTCACTCAGTTCAGGGGCAAAGCGGAGAGCAGGGATGTAGCTCCACCCCGGGAGGCTGCACTAGACCTGGGCACTGGGCGCTGGCAGGTCAAGAGTTTGACATCCTTTGTTTTACCCAAGTGGTGAAAATGCACCCGTGATTGCTTTGGGGATGGTTGCACCCAAAGTAGAGCAATGCAACCACAACGAGCGTGGATGTGGCAGCAGGATGATACATCGCACTCCTGATATAATTTATGGTATTATTGGCTCATCTTATAATGCATATTATTAATACAGCCATTAGCAGGAGCCAGCTCTTGTAATCTGCAATTCACGGTAGCTGTGGAGGGAAAACCCCTCCTGACTTGGGGAGATAGTTTTGACTGCAAAGTTCCCACAGCTTGCAATCATTTCATTTTGTGATAAATTAAGACGTTCTAATTCGCTTTTCCTCCTTTATTATTGTCTGCCACAGTTCATTTTCATTTTGCCTCTTTCCCTAAAAGACTTTTTTTCCCCTTTACACAATGGCTTTTGTGTTAGTGATGTTTGGGGCACCTCCATGGCATGTAGCTTAGTTAAACACAAAAAAAAAAAAGTGAACAACCCAACCTTTCAGTGCCAGCAAATTTACATTAAAATATAGGGCAATGCTTTTAAGTGTTGTAGCCCATACTGGTAGGTAGGGGTCGAACCTCTGATTCCTTTTAATTGCTGTATTTCTAAATACAATAAGTTACAAATGGTTACAATAAGTAATACTGCAGTAATGGAGCAGCAGGAGAGTGATGCTCTTTAATGGAAGGGACCTGCCTGGACCTCTTCTGCGTCCGCCTCGCGGACCTCTCTCCTGATGCTTGCAGGGTGGGGTTTACTAAGATGAGGACGAGGAAGAAGGCATGAACTTTTGAAACACCAAAGCCCGGAGAAGTTATCGCACAAGCACCCTCAAGCCCCGACAGACGTCAGAGAGCCATTGTTTTAGGCAGGATGCACACCCAGCAGATCCAAAGAGCCGGCCCTCTCGGTGACCAGCAGACGAGCAGCAGGAGATGAAATGGGCACAGGAGGGGAAGGAGGTTTGCCCACAGTCGCCCCTCGGGTCAATGGCAGAGCTGCGTGTAAATGGCAGCTCTTCGTCCCGCTCCTGGGCTGGAGCTGTAACCACTGAGCATGCTGCTGCGTTGGCATCTGTAAGGCACTTTCCCCTCGACCTCCTGGATCTTGGCCACGTATAACATGGGCTTTAGCTTCCCCAGTAGCCGCGTGGCTTTGAAGGGAGCTGTGCTCTCCTGGACATTGCTCCTGCTCCTCTTTCTCTTCCCTGGGAGGGGATGGAGCAGGCTGGGGGGTGATGTGGCCTCTCGCCCATCGTGCCTCCCTCAAGAAACAGCTCCACGCAAGGTAGCAATAAAACATCTTCTCCATGCTGCTGGGAAGGCGGATTCATTACTCCTTTTAAGGCTTTGGGTGGCATTTTCCAATGCATCTAAGTGACTTAGGGGTGTAGGTTGTAGCCGTGTTGGTCTAAGGACATAGGCAGACAAGGTTCCTTGGGTGAATTTGATATCTTTTATTAGACCAACCCAAATGGTTGGAGAATAGTTATTAAGCAAGCTTTCGGGTTCAAAAACCCTTCTAAGTGACTTAGGAGCTTAAATAGACACTTAGGCACTTTGGAAGATTTTCTCCCTTCTTTTCACTCGCTTCGCTCCCAAGGGATCAGTTTAGAGGGCATGGTTAGCAATGTGCGCGCCGAGTTAGGATGACATTGGGATACGGTATTACCCTAGTTTAAATGTTTCTAGGGCAAAACAGTAGTGCTATACCATGCCTCCTTGCTACCAGCCGGGAGCGCGGCTGCGATGCATCGCTCTCGGTACTAATCAGATAGGAACACTTCACTGAATCAGATGCAAGTGGTTTCTGTTGGCCGAGTCTGCACGGTATGCCAGCCGCTCGCTCGGCGCCCTCCAACAGGATGCTGTTTCTGCGTAGGTTGCAAACGTGCCCTCAGCTCTAGATGTGGTATCATTTCCAGCGCTTTTGCAAAAATCAGTATGGTTCCCCAGTGGTCTGAGAGTTGCCCGTTCGCTTTCTCTTTATCCACTGCCCATAGTCTTTGCATCCAAAGGCTCTGGTTCTCACGTCACTCATACCGTTGTGAATCAGGAGCGACTGTGCTGAAGTCAATGGCACACCGCCGGCATGAGTGGAGAATCAGACCCGATCTCTTCCGGCTGCTAGTAGTAAAGTACACAGACCGTACAACATACATGCTTTGGAATTAAAAATACATGAACTGTTTCTTTTTTTTTTTTTTATGAATAGGACTTGAAGGATGCTAACCTCTTTTGTTTTTTCAGTGCTATTAGGTTTATATTTTATTCTGAATTGAAAAGAAAATTGTGGTTGTCTTGACTACTAAAAAAGCCCAGCCCACACACTTCTCGGGAGATGTGCATAATGTATTGGTTGAAATGGAGAGGAGGGAATCTAACTCTACTCGGCTCGTGTTGTTTTCCAACTACAAATCTTGTAGCAGTTTTTATGGCAACACAGTCTGTTTAAGCAAGCTTCTCAGCCAGCAACTAGACTTAAGCTTTCTGTTATTGTGATGCATTTTATTTTCTCCAAACTCAATTTGGCGTGCAGCTAAAAATGTATTTTGTTTCTAGGCAATAGTATATGAAGGCCAAGACAAGAACCCAGAAATGTGCAGAGTTCTGCTCACGCATGAAATAATGTGCAGGTAAGAAGTACTCTGTTTCCAATTAATTAGCACAGAGAAGATGAATTTGTCTCTCAAAATCTAGGCTGAACCTGAAGCTATTTTAGGACTTAAATTTATCTTTCTTGCATTAAACACTCCCCCAAATAACACCGTTCTGTGCTTGTAATTAGCAGCAAAGTCTTGATCGTCACAGAAGTTTTCAATTATTTATAAAGATTTGTCTTTAACGGTATGCTGTTGGTTTGCATTTTGACACCGGAACACGAATGGGCCCTCACCAAAAATGATAAAATAAACTGCAGTCTTCCTTGCCGCAATGATCAGCCCTCCCCTTAATCGGTGCAAAGGTCTGTTGATGGCACAGGTGGCTTTCATTCAGATGGGACATTTCTAGCTCGCTCTCCTTCCACGTCACCCCAGGCTTCCTTGCCTCTTGGCGCTGCTTCTCTGAGGTGCAGAGCTAGGCCCACGTCCAAGTTTGCTGCCCCAGCTTTTTAGTCTTTTTCCCCTAATGTGCGTTTCTAGGGCTGGCTTTTAAATATAGGAGAGCCAAGTGGTGCTACTACCTTCCTAATAGGTCCATTTTGCAGTTGGCATCTGCATCTCTTTTCCAGCCAGTAGCCACGTGTAGTCCCTGTTGTTCGTCCCCCGTATTGCCGAGGAGATGTCACCTTCTCTCACAGTCGTTAGTGCACGTAAAGGGCCCTGACCCCTCAATCCCGTTGAAGGTAGCGGGCATTACGCACACCTGGGAAATGCAGGTACACAGCTGCAATGCAGAAAAATAATCCTTCAATAGGACGCAACAACTTTTTGCATGAGCTTAGGGTCAGGATCGTTTTAAACATCTGTCCATGCTGAATAGAGAGATGTCTTTGCTAAACTAATAGCAATTTGAGGCGAAACGTGAGTGTCCGCTCCTGAGTGGAACGGGGTGGAAGTGAGGGTGTGTGTATGAAACCTCCAGGTACGAGGATGCCACAGGCTCTGCTGGGCGGTTTTGGCTTGTGGAGATGCACCGACATCAGTCCCCTGTCGTGCATCCCAGCTCTCCGGCGGTAGTGCTCTGCACGGAGTAGCGCCACGCACAGCGCGGAGGCAAAGCAGCCTCCTTGCCTGGCCGTCGCCTGTTGGGAACCCCACACACTAAACCCATACGGGATCCTCCGGCTTTTGAGTCCATCTGCAGGTCTTGTTGCTGGTTTTGGCCCCTGCGTGTACAGGTCCTCGTTGCTCGTATTGCATGCTTTGAGGATTTGTTTGCTTTCAAAATAAATTTTCGGGAACCGGCTACAATGTGCAAATAGTGAGAGCAACCTAAACCCTCTGGGAGGGACCTTGTACCTGCAGCTCCTCATTGCAACTGGAGTTTTGCTTGGGCAAGGACTCCTGGCACGCCCTTGTTAACGCAAGGAAGCAAAATCGTGCCAGCTCTCCAGCCTCGCCCTCCAGTACGTTACCCCACTGTACACACAGCTCATTGCCAGCTAGTGAGCAAGTAGTGCAGACGTGCTGCCCTGACCTGCCAGCGTTTCCTACATGCTGGGCTTGTCTCGCCTAAGGGAGTTCAGTGACAACTGTGGGATCGGTCACTTAGGGCACAGACAGAAGTGACAGTTTTCACCCGATTTGGCCACAGAAAGCAGTTCATAGCCACGACCAAACACAAGCGCGTGGCTGCAGACTGCTTCAAAAATGGCCGATCGGGTGCAAATCTGACGCCTCATTGCATGAAGACGTTTCAAAACAGAGCCTCTTGTGTAACTTCTGTCTGGGCTGCCTAGCACGCGTTTCATTGCACTCGAGTGTTAGCCGTGTCGGGGCCCAAAGCTGCTCTTACAACTCAATGACAACCCCAGACTTTTCAATTCCAGGCTTTTTGGATGGGGACTGTGCTCATCTGCCTGTCTTTCCAAGCACATGGCACAGTTTGGCTCCAGCTGGGGCTTTTAGACGGGGGGCAAGACCAGTAATAACTCCATATCAAGGACCTGACTCTACCACTATGATAACACCTTCCCCAGCCCCTTAACTTCGTCCGGGGCAGCCGCATCCCCGCTCTAAAAGCACTGGTGTGCGGCTTCATTTCTGAATAGCCAGTCCTAGCAGAAACCTCGCTCCGCTTTCCTGAGAAGGGTCAGAAATATATACTTGAATGCATTGTGTTTCCCAGACCTACTTTAAAAAAAATGGAGGCTTTGCACAGGCCTGGATTTCAACCAGCAAATATCTGCATCAGAGATTTACAACCATGTCAATGTCCTTCGACCAAGATAAAATTATTCCATTCGTGCAATGCTGAAAGATGCGTTATGTCATTCAGAAGCAGCCTTTTTCTTTATTAATGCAGTTTATACTTTTCCGTTCTTAAAATTCATTGGATCAAGCTCTTTGTTATTCTTCCTCTCATATATCTTTACTGCTGGTTGTTCCTTCGCGTGTTTTGAAAACACAAAGTAAAGGGGAAGGGGGAAAAAATATCAGACCACGGCAGGCAAACATTGCTGGCCTGAGAGAGAGAGAGCAGATTTAAATGTCTTGCAGCTAATGTTAGAAATCACAATTTTCCTGGCTGCCTATAGATTTGTAAAGGGTGCTGTTTGTTTACCAGGCCGCTTGACCCTATTACACAAATCTGTCATCTATTGTGTTGCTAACACTCTTTTAAATTGCAAATCTGATGCTCTTTAGGGGTCTCGGAGAGAAAAAAATCTCTCCACACCACTCCATTTCTCTTGATTTCTTGCCTGTTGTAAGTGGAAGTTGGGATGTGCTGAATTTGCACCGGGGGTGCAAATGCAGCCACAATTATAAGCATAAAATTAGAGTCTGTTCCCCATTAATCAGCCTAGCTAATTGCTATGCACTACCATTAGCCATATGGTGTGAAAGACAGCTTGCTCTCCCTAAGATGAAATTTCTTCATTTCAGACATGAAATAGTGAGGGCCCTGTGTTTTAAAATAGCTTGTTTTAGATATTTAATTTCTAAACAACTTTCAGCAGTGCTTTCTATCAAGGCTAAGGGCACAATAAAACTTTGCATTTATGTGGCAAAAGCTGTACATTCCCCCCCTTTCTATAATCATGGCAGGGATCAGACAAAGAATTCAAATGTATAGAAGAGACCCTTGATTGTTGCAGAGGAGAGCGAGCGGGTTGCGTTGCAGGTACTTGCTTATTCCTAACGATTTCAGCCCTCTCAGAAGATGATAAAATAAGGCCATTTCTGTTGACTAAAATAGTAATGGTCGGGAAGAATTCACTGCCTTGCTGGAGTTTGCTGTTATTGTTGTAACTGCAGGCAGTGGAGGAAGCTGTGCCTATTGCCTATAGTCAATATTGCCCGATAATTTCCTTGACAAGATCTTCTTTTCACTGGCTTATATCTTTGCCAAGCTTGAACTAGACTGGCTGAAATCTCCCTGAGAAGGGGTTTGCCTCGGGGACAAGATTTTGGGAAAGTTTTGGCTGAAATGGCTCGGTCATTTCAGAGAATGAGGTTGCAAAGAAAATAACTTGTTTGCCCACGGGGGAAAAAAATAATAATACAGCTGCTCTGCTGGGAAGCCGTGGCGCCTTCGTGCCTCGGAGAGAGGACAAAGAATTTGATGAGGCTCTGAACTCGGGGAACGTGCCTCGTGCCCTCCCAGGGAAAACCTGCCTGCCCTGAGCCGAGCTGTCATCTCCTGCAGAGGCTGTTGTATGTGCTGTTCAAGTCCAGGAGCTAAAGGTTTATCCATCTCCTAGAAAAGGAGGGTTGAAGGGACCCCAGGAGGTCACATCTGCTCCAGCCCCCTGCTCCAAGCAGGACCAGCCCCAACTACACCATCCCAGCTAAGGATTTGTCCACCCGGGTCTTCAAAACCTCCAAGGATGGAGATGCCACCACCTCTCTGGGCAACCTGTTCCAGTGCTTCACCACCCTTCTTGGGAGAGAGGTTTTCTCAATATCCAACCTCAGCTTCCCTTGCTGCAACCGGAGCCCATTGCTCCTTGTCCTGTCGTCTGCCCCCACTGAGACCAGCCCAGCTCCATCCTCTTTGCAGCCCCCCTGCAGGGAGGTGAAGGCTGCTATTCAATCCCCCTCGGTCTTCTCTTCTGCAGACTCAATCAGCCCAGTTCCCTCGGCCTCTCCTCACCAGTCCTGTCCCCCAGCCCCACAACCATTTCCGTTCCCCTCCACTGGACTCTCTCCAACTTGTCCAAATCCTTTCTGTCGTGGGGGCGCACAGCTGGACACAGGACTCCAGATGTGGTCTCCCCAGTGCTGAACAGAGGGGAAGAATCACCTCCCTCCATCTGCTGGCCACGCTCCTATCAATGCAGCCCAGGATGCGGGCAGCCTTCTTGCTGACAAGGGCACACTGCTGGCTCCTGTTTGGCCCCCGAATGTTTGCTCTGGGATGGGGGGAAGCCCTTGTGTGCAAGCAGAGGCTTTGTGCCTGCTCCTGCCACCATCCAGCCATCGTCATGGGGCCCCTAAGCCAGGCAGATGCAGGATGAGGTATTGGCCAGCAGCTCGAGCCAGGGAGATCGCAGGTGGCCTTGGTGTGGAGAAGGGGGAAGGACGACCGGGCAAGGCACCAAGGACCGCAGGGAGCTTAGCATGGGATGAACTAGGTGAGAAGTGTCTACTTTCTACCCCATCCGCCCATATTTTTCCACTTGGTTTTTGGAAGAAAAAGTTGTAAGGGAGGGGAAAACAGCACGCTGCCCTTTTCTGTGTCACATGGTGCACACATGAGCATGCTCATTAAAAGGGAAGGGGAGTTACTTGCTTTTTCACCTTGGGCATATATCAAGAACATCAAATCTTCCTTTCCCTGTTTGATCAGAGACTTTCCTGAGCGATTCGTAGAAGTGCATTAGGAGCTTTGCCAGCTCCTTGGCAGGGGAAGGGGGCTGGATCCTTAGCATGGAGGGTTTTTTTTCCTCCCTAGTGTTAACTAGATTTTTAAAACTGAGGGTGTTTGAATTGGGCTGAAGAAAAACCATTTCCCATGCCATCTAATGAAGTTCTCAAATGCAGGGTTTCTGTGATGTCTTAATTTTTCCAGCTGTCTGTAGAATAAAAAAAGAACAGACTGAGCCTGCGTTTCTAATGACAAAACCAAGCAGGGGATACATTTTTAAACATAAAACATTTCTGGCCTTCTTTCACTGGTATAAAGTAGTAAGAAAAGAAAGGGTGGGGGTGGGGGGACGGCGGCACCACAAAGACCAATTGTTTTTCCTTCCCAGGTCGCTTTTTGAACAATCCTACCCTCGCTCCTAGTTGTGGGTGAATCGCTTTTTGGGAAGTCCCATTCAAATTGGTGGGTTTCAGTGAGTCATTCGGTGTTTCTGAAAGCGGAGTGTCCCTGCAGGAAAATGAAACCAAATCCATCCTGGCTTTTATCACCTCTTTGTGTTAAAAGCCGCTTTAGACGTCTGCCCCTCGCCTGCCTCTTCTCCCTCGTTCTGGGGCCTCTTCCAGCTGTGGAGCAAAGTGTTCGGCCTGGACCGTGGCTCTTTGTTTCCCGTGGCTGATGGCATGTGTCCCTGCAGGTCCTTTGGGCTGGAGACCTTCACCTGGCAGACTCGGGCTCCTGGGCTAGGTTGTGACCCCTGTCTGCCTGGGCTCCAGGAGCAGGGGCTCTGTAGCTGGGAGGACCTCTTGCAATGCAAGGGGCTCCAAACTAGGGCAAGAACCGTATCCAAATCTGGCTCTGATTTGCTTCATTTGCAAGAACAGCGCTGTCTGAACCCATGCCAGCGATGTTTCTAATTGCATTTCAGTCACTAAAGAGTTTTCCCAGTCGTTACGACTTTGTACATGGGTAACTTTCTCACCCCAACCATCCTAGCTGGATTCTGCTGAGTGCCCCTTTTATAGGCAAAGAAATGATGTCTCCAGGACCATTTATCCACTAGATTGGGATATGTGTTGTGAGCCCAGGCTTTGTTTTGTTTTATTTTAATATTGCAGTATAAAATGAACCTTTTTGGCAATCCTAAACAATGTCACGTCTGCCAGATTGAAGACTGCAGGAAAGACTGCAGGTTTTGAACTTTTTGCAGTTTTCCTTTTTGCAATGAAAGGAATTTTCCCCTCCTTGAAAACAATCCTTTTACATTCTTTTTTTTAACAAAAAAAGCCAGGTTTAAACTGGCCATTTTATGCAAAAGGCTAAATTTGTATTGTTTCTAGTGCGGCCAGTTGCTTTTATTGCTAATCTTGGCGTGTAACTGTACACTAGTTACTCTATTGTTCTGCAGCACAAGAAAACCTTTGTCATATTCCCAGCAGAGCTATTTATATAGTGTGCAACTTCTAAGGATTTCTTCCTGTGTTGATGTTCTTCCACTTTCTGTAGGGGGGTGGAAATAAGTCCCTTTTAGATGAAATAAGAGTAGCAGTAATTCCTACCAGTCGCCTAACCCTAAATGTTGACATACAGAAGTTAACGTGGAGCTTGGAGTTTCTTGGATCCTGTAGAGAACGAAGCCAGCGGTTGCAATGTCCCAGTCTTGGTCCCAGTGAAGAAGCACAGGACCTCGCTGAAGATGGGAGTGAGGGCACAACCCCTTCCAGATGCACACGTGGATGGGATTTTCCAGCACATCCTGGCTTCTTTCTGGCAGGGAAGCTCCTGTAGCACTTCCTCTGTAGGGGCTGGAGCGGGCATCCAGGGCTCCCATCCTTTCTATCTGGAGCTTTTTACAATAGTAAAGGGCAAGGGGAGTTGCCAGGGTCCTTGGTGGGTACAAGTGTTGGGGTTTTTGGGTCTGGAAGCAGTTGTCCACTGGAGAGGATGGGCTGTGAACCCAGGCAGGCACATCTCTTAACTTGCACAAATCATTTCTTTGGGTCAAATGGGACCGTTCAGAAGAGCAAAGTTCCTGGGGTTCGGTCCTGGGCGTGTCCCTACCGGGTCGTGCCGCAGATGATTTCTGGCCAAAATGGAAACATGTACGGCGTGCGATACGGTGTGTAATATTTTAGTGAGTCAGGCACTTAATGGACAATAAGCTCTGACAAGAAATCATCGCCACAAACACCACTTTGGAAACAATGACCCATCCTAGTTCAAAGGAATACAAGCCTCAAGGTCAGGAGTGGAACAGCGCTTTTGGCAGAGGGAGCTAACATTTCACATGCATGCTTTGTATCTGACTTAATACAGGACACCAGCCATCAGCGCAGGCTTCCCATAGTATTTGCCATCATTAAAATTCTCAGAAAACTTCGGGAAGTGGACGCGCTCGAGCATAAAACCACAGGGCTTTTGTTTTAGCTGCCCCGCTAGGATCAGCCTTGTTAAAAGGGAAAAATATTGCACTTTAAAGATTTGTGGGGCAGGTTTCCTGGTATTTGGGAATCCTGCTGGATGTGGAAACCGATTATAATGATATAAACAGATGTTACACTGCTGCTTGTTGGGGGAAAAAATAGCCCGCTTTTATCCTGTGCGTGTGTCGGGGGTAAGCTGGGGCTCCCTGGAAAGGGGACCGGTGGCAGAGCCACGTCATTCGAGCGCTCCCCGAGCTGTCATTCTGCAAAGGGGCAAAGCCCCTTTTGTTTTATATTTTCCGTTGCTAACCAGCTGTGCAAGAAGTTAAACATGGTGATTAACCCATATGTGACCCACTGAATTTGACTGATTTCCAGACAGGGACAGAATGGTAACTCTACCCGGCAATTTGAACCTCCCGGGTTCGTAATGATGATTTTACAGTGTAATGGTTGCACTAAATCCTTTCACTTTTGCTCTGCAGCCGCTGTTGTGACAAGAAAAGCTGTGGCAACAGAAATGAGACTCCATCAGATCCAGTGATAATTGACAGGTAAGGACGGCTATTGTTTCCTTCGTTTTTTGTTTTGTTTTTTATTTTTTTAAATTTGATGATGATGATGATGATGTTTTTACTCCTCATTATAATGAACCACCTGCCCTGTCGTTAATGGGGAAGGGGTTATGTGGGTATATGGATGAAATTTTGTTGTTGATACCGAATTAGTTGTGCTTTGTGATGGTGATTCCCATGGCAGGGCCAGATGGGCTAGGACTGTGAGACCTGCTCGCAGGGATGCTCCAGCCCTCGTCTCTGATTCATGTTCAGAAAGAGGAGATTTTTCTTTCTGACTTTCTGTGGCTCGATTCACATGCTGTGCCAGGGAAGCTTCAGGAATAAAATAATAATAGTTTGTGATTTATGAAATGTGGTTGGGTGCTTATAAATATTTAACTTTTATTTGAAAAATGTTTGAATCATTATCACTTTTAGCTACAGTAGTTCTGTTGGATGCAATCCATCTACATTTTAAGGTTTTTTTTATTTTATTTTATTTATGTATAAAAACAGTTTAAAAAAAAAATAGATCTGCGAACTAAGATTCTCCCCCCACCCCCCAGTTATTTTCGGTGGTGGAAGTGCTATTTGGGCTGCGTTGTCAGCGGGTTAATTCATTTTGCCTGTCTTAATTGTTGTGTTTTTAAACAGATCCCTAGGACTAATCCGACATGACCAAGTAAATCATTGCAGCACGATAAATCTGTTGTAGTTGTTCTGTGCCATTTGCAGTTTCTGTGCTGGCAAATTATGCCAAATTGTTGCCCAACAGTCGCTTTTACATTTTAATTATTGAAATTCATCGTACAGAAACGTATATGATAATCAGTTTCTTATGTAGCATTGCTCCCCGGGAGTTCAATAGCTAGGGAGGACTGAAGCTGTCTGTCATCGGGGGAAGCAATGCCACGCGCCAGTCTGGGACCCCGGGGCCCTGGCGGAGCACGCGCTCCCCTCGTCTTCCTCTCGGAGTTAGCCCTTGCCGTACGAAGTTCAAATACCCGATGGGCTGGAGCGCCCACTTTTATGAGGGAAGGCGAAGGGTGTCTGACCTGTTCAGCGCCACGTCACAACAGAGTCGCAGGCAAGAGGGCACGTCCCCGAGCTCCCAATTGTCCCTGTGCTTGTGCAGCCTTTCAGATTTATAGCTCTTGTCTGACCGTGTTCGGAAAGTGCGTCTTTTGGAAGCTCCCGGCAGATGTTGGGATTAGTTGCAGGAAGGGATGTTTCTCTCTCGGAAGATGTGTTTTCCCCGTGCATGTTTTCCTCCTCTTCTCGCATTAGGGAGCCACCAGGGAAAGTGAGAGCGCGCCCGGGGAAGCCTCTCCGGGGTGTTTTGTGTCCGGGTGCTGTCGACTTGAGCGGTAGAAACAGGGCGAGAGTAGCATTTTGAGCTACATGAGAGCTACAAAACCCCCATGAATTTTGCATTGTGCTGGAAAATGAGCTGCTAGGATGTTAATGGCTGGTTTTCCAGAAATACTTTGTTTTACTATCCAATATGCAGAACTGCGAGTTGTGACTCATTTCAGTTATGAACTCCAGAGACCCGGGTTTTTGGGGGGTTTGTGTTTTGTTTTGTTTTTAACTGGCTTTGTACAAACGATAAAACCAGTGATATGAAGGAATGGCTTGAATGCTCCAGCCGTGATCATATTAGCGCTGGTTAATTCAATTGCTGCAAGGACGTATAATTCTGAATGCTGGGTTTAAAATACCGGTAGAATACAGTTTAGGTTATAATATAAACCCTACCTTGCCACCCCTACTGAATCACATTTTGCTTGTGAATGGGTTAAGCTTTTAAGTTCTTCACTTGGTTTTAAATTGTGACTTTGATACGGAGGGTTGATATGACTGTGGTTTGAATAACATTTGATTTTGACCTGTTCCTGTGGGTTGCAATGGCATAAGAAATTTGACTCAGCAGTGCTGTAATTAGCCCTCCCTGTGTTTTTGAAACAGGATTGTGTTACCTGGATTGCATTAGTGTGGCTTCTATTGTTGCCGCTTCGCATCTGTCCCAGTAGGGTACTTAAAACCTTTTCTGGGCTGGGGTTAGTTCAAACAATTTAGGCCAAATAAGTATGTGCTTTATACAGTTAGTGGCTTTAGTGATGTTTCTTGTGACATTTATCCTTTCATTTTTTTTTTTCCTCCCGTTTTGGTTTGAAAAAGTAGAAAGCCTTCTACATGGAGTCTCTATACCTTTAAAAGGAGTACTTTAAAAATGGTTATAACGTTAAAATGCCTGCACGAGTTGGAACATATGTTGAGTTGCACTGAATTGTCACTTCTGCATGCATAAAATCTTAAGCTATTATGGCAATTGATATGCAAAACCATATTTAGCTATTTTTATTTGCATGTGAGCTTGCAGAATTCATTTACCATTTGGGCTAAAGCACTCCCACACGTCTTGCAGCCTGATAAGCCTTATCTTTGGATTTAATCTAACTTTAACACAGAATTGCCACCTAAACACTTAGCAGGTTTTATTTAGACAACTGCACTTGTATGGAAAATGCTGCCTTATGCTTACTCCTTGAAAGCCTTTTTTTTTTTTTCCTTTTTTCTCCCCCGGATTGGTTATTCAGAAAAGCTCTTTGTGGGATAGACCGAGCTCAGTCTTTGTGGCTACTGGGTGTGTAGTAGTTTGTTTTGCAAGTTAAAAGTTAGACATGTGTTTGAAATGATTGGATATAGGCACTATACCTTTTCATCGTCAGAACATGTGGGATTTAAAATAAAAGGCAGTAGGTGCATGTGAGGACAACCTAGAAAATGACTTTTACTGCTATCGAGTACACTCGTATAATACAAAGTGACCTAAAGAATTTTTGCTTAATATAGTGACCTGTCTTGTCTCTGGAGAAGGGGTATAAGTCTGTTATTCCTATAGGCCAGAGGTTCCCAAACTTTTTCTTACTGCCTTGCCCCTCCTTCCAGATTTGCCAGCCGCCCTGTGCCCCTACTAGCATACGGGTTATATTTTAACCCCATAAATGCCAATTATTATTATAATGAAAATTAAATCCGCCATGACACCATTTCTCCCATGTACCCCCCAGAGATGTTTTGCGTCCCCCCCAAGGTACCGCAGGCGGGGAACTCCTGCTATAGACCCATGAGATCAAATAAGTTCCTTTAAAAAGACACTGATTGCAGGTACGGGCATGTCCTTTTAGAGCAGTCTATATATTTTATCTCCAGCTCACTTGCATGTGTGCGAATGAAGCTCTGATGACCAGGAACTAATATTAAAAGGGTATTATTGCTACAAAACAAATGAACAACAGTTCACATTGGAAGTGAAGCCATCGGCTGTGGGGTAATCATAGTTAAAGTAAAGATGTAGCACCTCCTGTTATTAAATTAAATTCTAGATTGATTTAACATTCAAATTGTAACTCATATTTGAATTTAAAAGGTTTGCAATAAAATTCCTGTGCCAAAATTGAATAAATTGTAGTTTTATTACCACACTGGATATCCCGGTGTCCTAACCTTTTTCCTTACAGTTATCTTAGTTCAATAAATAAAACCTCATTAGACTATTCCCATTTCAACGAGTTTATTAAATTTTACAGGAGTAATTAGCATAAGCTGTGCTAATTTTTCTGGAAGACTAATGAGAGAGCTTCCTAATTAGGTTTGCTTTGTAAGAATCAGAAAAGATGATAATGACAAAAGTCACTTAGGGTGGAAAGTGGGGCTTGATATGATTTTGTGATGCAGGAAGGAGGCTTTTGTGCCTCGGCACTCTTTTACATCCCCCTCACCCCCCTTAAAACCCAGTCGACCGTTGTAGAAACAGATTTTTGATTGAGATATCTATGCTTGCCATATATTTCTGTACCTTTTATGGATGGATCCATGAGCCAGTAGCTGCTGGATGAGATGAACACAGGTAGTCGCTGCAAGCTCTGCACAGGGTCAGGCTGTCTCAGCGGACCTGGACCTGCGCTCCGCCAGCCTGGTGCGAGATGCTCGGGAAGCAGGATGGGGTTTGCGAACACTTTGCTCTGTCATTTCTGGTGGACCCTAATGCTGTCCCCTGCCAGGATGCACAGTTAGGGCATGTGACAATGGTGGCCGGTGAATGGGCCTTGCTGATTTTACTGATATATACATAAAAAAAAGCCTTATTGAGGGAAATTTCAAGACTTTCTAAAATAAACCCCAAACCAACGAAAAACATAAATTAATAGGACTGATGCAGGACATCTCCTTGGGTGATGTTCTCGACCCTGTGCTATGGGAGAAGTCCCACTGGGAAGGGTAGTGGTAGCGGCCCTTTTTAACTGTAGTTTGTTAAACGTTGAGGCCCTTCACGTGCTGCGATCCCATGCTGCTTTGGACCCCATGTCACAGGGATGCATCATATATGAGTTGCTTGGGTAGTCTACCAAGCCATGCTATAGTCCATGGGAAATGATCCTATTAAGCGGTGTTTTCCACTAATCTATCTATGCAGCACCCACTGCCTATGGTACCTATGGAGCTGACTTGCCTGCGTGTGTGTTGAAATCTTTTAGCTTCCAACCTAAAAAAAAAAAGCCTTATTTGTGAGTAAGATTGCATGGTGCAGTGACATGAAAGGAGGCATGAATGACTTTCAGGGTCTCTATTTTATTGCTTTATACGTCATCACGGAGTGGATTGTATTTTATGTGCCTGATCATCTTTTCATCCTAAATGCCATTCAGGAGAAAAAGCAATGCAGAGCAGTGTGTTGCAGGAAAATGGTGCTTTGCTTTCTCCTACATGCACTCTTCAGGCCTAGGGTGAATATGGCAATGAATGCATTATAGTATGGCAATGAATAGGCAGTAGCCTTATATGCCCAGGTATTTGAGGTACTGTCAAGCCAGGTAGTTTATAGAAAGTCCTTCTTCAACAGGGAGGAGAGGTGATGGCAGGGTTGGCATTTTGCTAGGGAGGAAGCCACCAGCAACTGACTGATACCAAAGCAAAGCAGAATATCCTCAGAA